CCACGTTCCAAATGAATCCGATGAACTTTTCTTCAATTTTTTTCCAACCCTACCTCGTCTAAACTTGAATGATCTCCTCCAAACTCTTCCGGATACTTAAACCCAACCTAATTATTGAGAATTCTATACCAAAAACCCACCAGGTAAAACACCTATACGCAACTCTCACCTGAAGAACTCAACAGACTTCCTTATCAAAATTGAAGCACAAAACTTCAAGAACTCAACCAAATCATCAATATACTCAATCTCATGGATAAAATTCGTAAAATAAATACATGATTGGCGTGTGGGAAAACAAACTCAATACTATGGAAGCTTACATACCTCTTAATATAAAATCCTTGGCGAAATCCCTTGAAGAATCACAAGAATCTTAACGAATGCCTTGAACCTTCTCTATTTTCTCCTCTATTCTCTTCTTTTCTCTTCTTGAACTCCTCTAAAAACCCTAAGCGACTTTAGGAATAACTAAAACTGATTCCAGTTAGTTTAGACTCCTAAAACCTTACTAAAATGTTTAAATCCAACTGGGTACGGAAAGGACAAAAATACCCCTCATATTTTTGGGGTAGCTTTCCTTAATTGGACATCCTAACTTCGAATGATAATATCTCCCTCATACAATCTCAAAAATTAGAAAACTCAGTGGCATTGGAAAGAGAACTCATAGATCTTTCATTTGATATCTTATGGGTTTCCTAACTCATCCTGCTAAAAGTTATGGCCGTTTGAAGTTAACTCAAAACTTAAAAGAACTTAGGAATGACTTAAATAAACCTTCTTCTAAAATCCTAAGCGTATTTGGATTTATGAAAACTGACTGGAAAAATATTTTCCCCAAAAATATTAGTTAACCTCATTTTAGCTAATTGAGTAAGGAAAAGACCAAAATATCCCTCATATTTTTGGCTAACTTTCCTTAATTAGACTGCTCTATTTCAAACGGGTATATCTCCCACATACGAGCTCGAAAATTAGCAAGCTTGGTGGTGTTGAAAAGAGGATTACAAGGCCTTTCATTTGATATCTTATAGATCTCATAAATCATCATATGCGAAAAGCTATGGTCGTTTGAAGTTAACCTAAAACCTAGAAGAACCTAGGAATGACTTGAAGGAATTCTCTTTAGTTCTTTTTGAAACTCAAGGTGATATATCTAGCGACCTTAACACTTCAGAAAATTCAAATTCCTCGGTAAAATCTTACTCTCAACAAAGAATGGTTCGAATCTTAGCTCAAAACTTTCTGGGGTGTTACATTTAAGTTCTCTGCTCTACCAATTCCAATACAAATTTGAACGACAAAATGGATATTTTCAATCCTGTGAATTGTATCATCTTTACTCAACATCTTTTATATAATTAAACTCTACAATAAAGTTACTACTTTTCTCAAATAAGTTACTTGAATAAGAGCATGTTTGGTATTGTTGTTGGGAGCTCAGAAACACTTATTTTGAGGGGAAAAATACTTTTGTTGAAAAAAAATAGGTGTTTGGCAAACCCGTAAAATTGCTTCTAAATAGAAGCAGCTACAATTTTTCTGTTATTGAGAGAAAAAATAAAAATTTCTATTTTTAAAAATAGAAGCAGAAAATTATTTTTTTCAAGACTAAACGTCTCTTATATATATATATATATATATATATATATATATATATATATATAAGCGAAGATTTGAATAATAAGCGAAGATTTGAATAATAAGATTAACAAAAAATAATACTGCAAATTCTTTTGTGAATGTTCAATGTATATCATCATAGATATCTCTTATTCACGCAAACCTCTGAAGATGGTCAATGAAAAACTTTATTAATTAAATACAATAATGTACATATTTATTTTAATTTAATGAGGTTCAATCATATAATTAATCTATCTCACTAATATTAACTTATAAAGAATTCTTTTTTTGTATTTTTCTTGCCATCTAACCATTTCTTGTCATCTAACCATGTGTTTTGCATGTGTATTTCATGTTTAATTGTTTAGATGTCATATGAACATGTGAATAGAACAATTACATTTTGTATTTTCACATTTGAAAAAAAATCGAGACATTTTTAAATAATATATTTTGAAGTTAGAAGATCTTATTAACTTGATAATACATTTGTGACATATATAATACTTTAATTTAAACACAAATGCCTACCTAAATATAAATATATATTTGCATTAATGAAAATATTCATCTCATAAAGTTAACTATTAAATAGATAATAAAAATTAAACTAATACAAACTTCAACTAGGCGTTATTACAAGTCATTTGAATTTTTCTTCGTCTAAATTACTGAAATATTAAGAAATAGTAAATAAGTAAAACAAAAGGACAATGTTTATACGATAATAACCATTTTGAAGCAAATTTCACGAGAGCCTAAATCACAAAGGTAGCATTGATAAATAAAGTCATTCTTTTGTCTTGAGCATCAAAAACAAATCGTGACAATTCTCTAGATTTTGAAAAAGATTCAGAAGCATATATCTACACCACAAGAGAAACTGTTAAGAAAAACAAATGAATTTAGACTATATCATGTTAACTTTTATATATTGGAATATTACATACTAATGTATATATTAAGCAAAAAAAATATTATTATATAATCAAAATTATTTTCCTCAAGTACTCGAGGTTATGGAATATACCGTCTTAGGATAGAACGACTTACTTCATCAGAATAGTGGTACCTCATATTTCGCTAAACTTCGAACTCACTCAACAACAATAAATCACAAAAAAAATGTAAGAAGAAGACGAGTAGAAGATTTAGAAAATGTGGTTGAAAAATGAGAGGAAGTCCCTCTATTTATAGTCAACAAAGGGTAGTATGAACAAATATTTTTCTTGTCTTAACTGAAAAGTTATGACCTTTTCGAGAAGTTACAACCCTCTGAAAAAGTCACAACTTATTGAAAAAGTCACAACTCTTTGGAAAATTCACAAGTAATTGAAAAAGTCACAACTCTTTCGAAAACTCACAACTCATTGAAAAATTACAATCCTTCGAAAAAAGTCACAACATAAGATATGGATATTATAGTAATTTAGAATTCGAGTAAGGAGTTCATGTTTTTAAGGTTATACTAGCTTCAAGCCACGCGTGTTGCATGTGTATATGTATATATAGTATACGGTGTAGTAAAATAGAATTAATAATACTACATTAGATTTCTTTATTAAATAATTATAGTTTAAAGAAAAAAGGACAAGTGTTTTTAAATGATTAATACAAATTGGCATAGAGTTACTTGTATTTTGAGATCAAAAATTATCAGATATCATTGAAACATTTCAGAATACATTCAAAGTTTAAATATGGGTTTTTAGTAGTATAATTTTTTACTTTACTAACTTTTGTAAGAAAATCTAACCAACAAAATATTTTTTGAAAATGTCATCAATAGTCTTTCCTCTTGAGGCTATGAACATAAATTATAGGCACCATTTAAATATAATATTTCACGTAAATATTCATACTTGAAATTTAGTATAGGCATGACACTAATAAGGATTACCATAAATATTTTAATATTTTATATTTATACACAATCTATTTTTTTCTTGTATTCTAATGAAAGTATTTAGTATCTTAAAGAAATTGTATCGTGATATAAAATATTAAATTTTTAAATAATAAAAATTAATAGATGAATAAAATTTAAAGTATTGTTTATAAAATATTTAATTTGATTTAAGATTATTTTATGATCATCACTATTTTCTTATCTATTTTATATAGCTAACAAGGAGTGTATCTTGTGAAATACCGTTTTCTCAAATTAAAATGAACACAAAATAACAAAAAATTCATACTTAAAAAGTATCATACTCAAAAATAAATATTTTTAAAAAAGTATATATGGAACGATACATAGCAAATGAAGAAGGAAAACAAAAATATATGATCATGTTGCATTCACTATAGTGTGTATGCCCGCGGTGTGTGCGCGCGCGTGTGTTCCATTTAATAATTTTTTTTTATATTTTATTTTACTTTTACATAATATTATTTTATTTATTTTTTACTTATTATATTACAAAATTACAAAACAGGAAGAAGGTAACAACAATATTTTTGTAAAATTAGAAAAGAAAGAAAAAAACAATTAAAGGTTTCAACCCTTCAAAAAATGTACAATATGGATTGGAAGTTTGAATATGAACATTTTGATTTGATTTAATAAAAACAAAATTTGAATTTAATTTATTGTAATAGATGTTTAAATTAGTTTTTTTCTATAAAATAATCTTAACATTAAAAGTAAATTAATGTTTGCTCTTAATCATAATTTGACTCTCAAAAGTACTCTTTCAAAAAGATTAGTCAAACACAATTTGCTTATAAAAAAAATTCAAATAAATTTGTCAAAAACAGATTGCTTTCTCGCAAAAGCACTTCTCTGAAAAGCTATTTTAGAAAAGTGCTTCTGAAAATAAGCAATTTTTAGCAACAATGTCAAACAGACTCTGATTCTAGTTAATTATTTGCTTGTGAAGCTTAAAGTTACTACTGTGCTCAAATAAGTTGCATGAATGATTCAAGTTAATTATTTGCTTGTGAAGTTTATTTGTTTGGAAAAAACTTTTGATGTCTACTGCTTGATTGGACAGAAACTTTCATTCAAATTATTTATTAAAATGTAATATAAATTTATTTCTTCTCTTCAAATTATACATGTACAACATACCTGTCAAGAAACTAGTAATTTTTTAAATCGATTTATTTGTATAGTAAATTTGGTTCGATTTTTTTGTTATTTTTTCGCTTAAAACCAAGACCAAACATGCATATGTTGATTTCTAAAATTACAACCAATTAAAAAAAGTACCCTTTTTTCCTTCAATTTGATTCAACTTCACCTGTACCCCTACATATTTGTATAGAAGTTTGGGAGCTTTTTCTGAAAAGAAAAAAAAACACATTTAATTGCAGCTACCCTACTTTTTGGAGTTACAAGAGTTTCCACACTGAATACATTTACCTAATAAAAAGCTGAAGAAAGTTGAGCTGCTGGGTACATTCTCTTAATGGCAACATGAGCACAAAATTCGTTTGAACTCAATCCGCATTCCAGTTTCACTGCTGGTGGATACAGTATACATTGGGATTGAAACGTATAGCACACTCATTCTCATCCTATTACATTGTACATAATTAAATCTGCTGCTAAGCAGCACAGAGGTATAAAAAGTCGAATACAGATTGAAAACCATCCTAGAAATATGAGGTAACCTAGGCTGCACCACAAGTAGGAAGTAGAATGCACAAAAAAAAAGAGCAGTAAGGACCTCCATTCAATAGCTGCAACTGCAGAAAAGCAAAAAGAACCAACACCGGTGCACGAACTTAACCCCCTTCCTCGATACTTGTCAGTGATATGTTTGGCAAAAATGACTATTCTTCACATTTAAGCTCCTTGCTAATATGACTATTATACTAAAGACATTGAACCAAGGATGAGCTACCAAGCCCCTATGAGATTATGGTTCACAAACTGACAACTCTAACCTGATTTTGGTTTCCTCTGTAAAAATGACCGTCTTGATGAAAGAGGAACTACAATCTCAAAGACATTCTGGAGCACTCCTCTATCGTAAATGTTATTCTTCACAACCTCCACTTCTTCAAGAGGGGACCTTTGGAAGAAGGCTTTCCATTTGCTCACAGGGTGCTTCTTTTCATGGTTCAATTCACCCAAACTTGCTTTGAGTGCTGCTGCACTTGCCTTTGCTTCATTAACCTTCCTCTTCCAGCTTAAGTACTCTTTCCATTTGAAAGTCTGCAGTTCACATGAGCACATTTAGCTTTAGATGAGAGCTAAGAGCAAACTGTTATTTCAACTTCTAAAATTTAATAGTTAAGCTGAACCAATAAGGTATATGATTATGATATACTAATGCACTTCTACGATTAGGACGTTCTAATGAGTTTTTTATCACTATCCTGTGTCCCTTCTTATTTACTTTACTTTTTCTTTGCGTAGTCAAATTTTAAAAAAAAATAAAAAAAGGAAATTCTGTCACCCTAAAAGAGAATGCTGCAAGCTTCTATCCCAAGACTTCTTAGCAAAAGAATCCAAAATGAATTAACTCCAAGTTAAATATTTTAGTCGATCCAAATATTGTTATACAAACCTGATCACACTTGTAAGTGTAGATGTTTTTTTCTTCTTTGTCAAAATATTTTGACGTCTAATCATCTCCAACTGGCCCAAATTTTCTTCAATGATAGATACAAAAGGCATTTTTCATTTTAGCGTAAAGCAGCGCTCTCTTGGCAGAGTTTTAGGCGGCACTAAAGGTCCAAGAAAGTAATGTAATAGTAACAAATTACAAGTGTTCTATTATTAGACATGTGAGTTCCATAAGCTCACTTCCAAAGGAAATGCAGGTACTACAAAGGAGAAAAAATGCCATATCACACAGCTAAACCACAACCATCAATAAGATACTAGAAATATGTATTGAACTGAACTAAATAGAAAATGACTACCTCATTTGTTGTGGTATTTGTGACACACAGTTTGGTGTGGTATGCAAGGAAACCAGCCAGTAGCATAGAAATTATAGCCAGAAATACCATGATAAGTATTTGAGTGTTGTATGAATCCAATAACCACTGAGCCAAAGCAGAAATCATCATTACGAAACAAACCATAAGCACAAATACAAATATAAATGTATTAAGAGAGCTGGGAAGGGAGATAAATCTTATTTTTGAGAAAACAAGAAAAAGGTGCAAGCATCCTTAGTTGGATCATATGAGTCTTTTTTGGCAAAATTCAAATTTCCAGGGGCGTCTGCAGGGGGGGCAATTGATGGTCTGTGATGAACCATGCCCCCTTGCAAGTGATGAACCGTTGTTGGAAAAAGACATTGAAGACAGCTTCATTATGGGTACAATCAAATGTGCTCAAACACAGCAGGTTCTTTTGAGGTGCATTTGAGAGATGCGATAAGGTTGCCTTCGAGCTTCTTATGAAGATTGATCAAAAGAGGATGCTGACTTAAGGAGATGCTGAAAAAAACATTACTGGAACAGTTCAGAAAAAAGTTAGAAATTTAGTTTTTCGTATGAATTCCAAGGATGGTGACCGAGGAACAGGGGGAGGATAATAATGGCTTCTTGTCAACGAAGATCAAGATATTTACTAGGAATGTCAGGGGGGTGAACAATTTGAATAAAAGGAGAATTGTCAGAAGTTTAATACAGCAATGGGGGGTGGATGTCAATATCATATATTGGAGGGGACAGATTCACATCTGATAAAACAACTCTGTTTCAATAGATGGCTGGGTGAGTTACATCTAGTTGCTGTAGGGAGTACCCAGGGATAGTAATAATGTGAGATAGGAGATATTGGAAGGGTGAGCTGGTGGATGTGGCAGGGCAATTGATCACCTGAAAGTTCGAAGTTGTTAATCAGAATCTAAACTGGTTTCTAGGTTCATTTTATGCTAACTGCAACAAAGTGAAGAAAAGAACTATGGAGGGATCTTTTAAGGTGCATCTGTACAGGACCCTGGGTGATTTGTGGTTGACTTCAATGTCAAAAGATACCTCTCAAAGAGATCATCAGGTCACAGACTTACAGGAGCTATGTCTGAATTTTCTGATTGGATCAATGATATGGAGTAATTTGATCCCTCTTTATTTGGAGGATCCTTTTCCTGGAGAAGAGGGGAATACCATTTGACTGCTTCTAGATCGAACAGATTCCTATACACTCATCAATGGGATGAAGTCTTCATACAGATAAGGCAAAGTACCCTTCCAAGGCTCGTGAGACCTCAATCCCATTATGCTAACCTGTTGTGAGTTAAATTTGAGGAAATTTTACTTCAATTTTGAGAAATGGTGGATGCAAATCGAGGGGGCTTTCTGGACAAGGTAAGGAAATGGTGGTCTTGTTTCTCAGTTAATGAGACCCCAGCCATTATTCTACCCTCAAAACTGAAATTGTTAAAAGAGAAGTTGAAGTAATGGGGACTGGAAAATAGGGTGGACTGGAGACAGAGAATGAAGGATGTTCTGAATCAGTTAGCTAGTCTGAGGAAATTCAGGAGAGAACTCTCATCGAAGATAAACTATAACAAAGAGTCCAACTTTCTAAGATATATTAGGATATGTCCGGAAATGTAAAATAGTTTGGAGGCAGAGGTCTAGGATTCAATGGCTTAAGCAGGGGACAAGAACACCGAATATTTCCACAGAATGGCCACAGCACACAAAGGATACAATATCGACAGGTTGGAAACAAAAGGAGAGATGACTCATCCTGAAGAGATAAGAAGGGAAATTGTCAGTTTCTATCAATTATTGTATAAACTATAAAGAAACAGAATAATGGAGGAGGACAGAACTCAACCTACATGGATCTGGTAATATCAACTCAGAGGAGAAAGTTTGGAGTTAATGACAATTTGAGGAAGTGGAGGTATTGTAGGGAATCAAGTTACGTGCAAGTCACAAGGCCCCTGGTCCTGATGGGTTCCCCATGAGTTTCTAACAGAATTTCAGGGCATTACTCAAGGAAGATATAATGAGCACCATCAAATGTTTCTATGATAAACAAGTTTTTGAGAAAAGCTTGAATGCTACATATGTTGCTCTCATCCCAAAAAAGACAAGTTGAACTCAGGGATTACAGACCTACAAGATAATAGCTAAGCTTTTGGTTGAAAGCCTGTCGAGAGTGATTAACAAATTGGTCGACAAATACCAAATGACTTTCATAAAAGGTAGACAGATCATGGATGTTGCCCTCATAACCAGTGAGTTCATGGATACTAGAATTAAAGGGAATACCCCTGGGCCATGGCGTCATGTAAACTAGATACTGAGAAGGCTTATGACCATGTCAATTGGGACTTCCTTCTCAATATTCTTCATCAGATGGGCTTTGGTGAGAGATGGTTTGAAATGGATAAGAGCCTGCACTAAAACTGCCATGTATTCTATTTTGATAAATGAGGAATCTGCTGGCTTTTTCCTCTCAGAGAGAGACCTTAGACAGGGAGATCCCTTATCTCCATTCCTATTCATCTTAGCCATGGAAGGCTTTGACAGCATGATGAGAATGTCCATTCAGAATACCTTGCTGAAGGGTTTTAAAATAGGCAGTCACTCAGGGGTGGATATGCAAATATGTCATTTACGCTGATTATACATTCATTTTTTGTAAAGCCAAGGATTAACTACTCAAGACTATCAAGATACATTTAGTGTTTTTGAGGCAGTTTCTGGGTTGTCTGTAAATTGGACGAAAAGTTGTGTTTATCCTTTTAAAGAAGTGCCCCGGATACGGAGACCAGCAAAGATTTTGGGTTGTAGAATTGAGGAACTTCTAATAGTGTACCTTAGCATTCCATTGGGAACAAACACAGAGCTGGTGAGCTGGGATAGTGTCATTGCGAAAACAGAAGGAAAACTAGCATTGGAAGGCACAGTACCTTTCTTTGGGAGGAAGAACCATCCTGATAAATTGTCCTAGACTTTTTGCCAACCTATCACATCTCTCTTCCCTATGCCTGAAAAGGTTGAAAAAATAATAGACAAGCTAAGGAGGGATTTCATATGGCTGGGCAATAAAGAGGTTAAAAGCATGAATTTGGTCTAATGGAGAACTGCACAACTGAGTAGAAGTTTTGGTGGTCTTGGTATCAGAAACCAGGGGTTACAACGCAAATATCTACTAACCAAGTGGTGATATGGAGATTTGGCGATAAGGATCAACCCTGTGGAGAGAAGTGATTGTCAGCAATTATGGGCAGAATAGACATTGATGCTCCAATACAGTCAATAGTAACTATGGTGTCTCGGTCTGGAGAACAACTAGGAACTTGTGGAACCAGTTGGTCAGAGATATTACTTTCAAGGTGGGCAATGGTAGCAAGATTCAGTTCTGGAAAGAGCTCTGTATGGGTCAGAAGATTCAAGGTGGGCAATGGCAAATGAAATATGGTCTCCTCAAGGATGGAATCTGAGTTTTAGAAGACACTTGAATGATTGGTCAATGAGAGTAGTTGGTATATTGCAGGATCTTAATAGCTTCAAGGGCACAAACATGAAAGCAGATTTAGTAAGATGGAAACACAACAGTTATGGAAGCTTTCAGTTAACAGGCTATACAGTAGCAAAGTGCAGGAAGTACCAGGGAGAATAGATGGCCCTAGGGGGAAGATTTGGAAGAACAACATACTAGTTAAGGTAAGATGTTCTACCTAGCTGGTGGCCAGAAGGGCCTGTCTCACGCATGAAAAGCTCTAAAGGAGAAGTTTTCAGATGGCCTCATAATGCTCTCTATGTAATTAAACTAATAGTGATTTGTTCTTACACTGTAAAGTTACTTCTCAGCTATAGTCTCTGTTCTTAGACCTGACACAAACTAGATGGACAATGTCAGAACACACAGTTAACCTGCAGAGCTGTTGGATCAGGAGAAAGGGGAGCAAAAGTCAGAAGGGAATATGATTACATCCTATAAATGGTGGTCAATATGGAGAGAAAGAAACACGAGGTGCTTTGAGATTACTGCTGAACTTGTTCAGAAAATCCACTGGAAAAGAACTTCCTATTTTTGGTGTAAAGAGGAGGGTGTGGAGGACGCATACTAGGGAGAAGGTTAGTAGGTAGTGGAAGGTGGTTGTGCTTAAAAGCTTGTTGGTGTTTGTCGTTGTGCTAGCCGTATTATTTTAGGTCTTGTTTTTAATATCAATTATCGTCTGTTGTTTACTGTGTTGCTATTATCGCATTATTTCTTTCTTGTATCCTTAGCCCTGCCTCCCTTGTTAGTCTCTATGTTTTTTTCTACACTGTTTTCTTCTTCTTTGTACTTGAATTTTTTGACAACGGCAACAGTTTTGTGTATTAATCTTCAGCACTATAGGCTGGGGTCCCAAATTTACATCATGGAGCTACATACAGTTGTGTGCTTAAAACAAAACTAAACTAGATCCTACTTCATCATACATAGGACCTAGGATATCTCTAACAGATATAGGCTCATCTACATATTCCAAACTGCACCATTGTACTTGAATTTGATGCATTTGAACCGAGGGTCTGCCGCAAACAGCCTCTCTACCTTCATGAGGTAGTGGTAAGGTTTGAGTATACTCTAACCTCCCCAAACCCCCTTGTGGCATTACACTGGGTATGTTGTTTTTGTGTAAAGAGGAGGGTATAAAGGATGCTGGACAGACTTAGAATTTATAAGATCCGTATAGTTTTTGCTGCAAAGTTTTTGTGTAGCAAGTTTTGTTCAGTTTGATTCAGTTGTAAATTTCTTTTGATGGGAGCCAACATATCCTTAATGCTGAAAAATACAACATTACTCTTAACGAATAATAGAAACAGGAAAAGTAAAAAACAGCAAAGAAAGAAAATTAAAGAATAAGAAACTAAATAATGGAAAAATATATTAAGAATAAATAATTAACTGTAATTAGTTTACAAATAAATTGAAAGATGACACATGTATAATTTGATTGGCTTAATTCTTTTTCACTTTCTTCACGCCTCTAGGAAGGTGATGACACGTTGCCACATCAGCTCTCAGTCTTTCTTTAATTTCACTTCAAACAAGGATGAGGGGGTAATAGATCGCCCATAAGGTAAAGGTGTGTAAATGACGGCTGTGATATTTTTACTTATTAGATGTACAAGTGGGGGGTTTAACTGTTTTTTCAAGAGGTCACCTATTATGGACTCTTTATATCTTTAGATGAAGAACAATCCATCCCACCAAAGAAGGTAATCTTAGTGTAGTGACCCCTAATTGGATTGTTTGGGATTCAGAAGTGGAAGATCAACTAATAGTGGTCAAATTGGCATATTACCAAACTCGAAGGCTCCATGCCTTCTTACACACATGGTCTTGGGCTCATCTCTTTCGGCTATGTGCACTTGGTAATATCCACATTCAACTATATGTCCAACATTCATGCATAAAGGTACTCCCAATGGGCAAAGACCATATCAGCAGATCTTCCATCATGTAAATAACGCATATCTTGTCTAGGCAAAAATTTGGAAATGATACCTTTATTTCCGTGTCTTCTAGCTACTTTATTGCCCACTTTGACTTCACGTTTCTGTGAAATATATTCAAGAATACATCTTGATTCAGAAAGATAAAGAGTCCAAAATTCTAACTAGGAGGGATACAAATTCCTTATCTCAATCGTCATCTCAATGTGATACAACCATTCCAATTTTAGTTGGGAAAGAACAGTGTAGTCCATCCAAACCGTCCAAAGAAGAATAAGAGGAGAGAGAAGCATCAATGGGGCGCAAAGCGCATCAGAACAGGCACGAAGAATAAGAAGTATGGAGTAGAAGCAGTCGAGCTTATTCCCTTCGCCTGCGGGGGTCCAAAGCAATGCTATCTTTCCTGGCAAAATCAAGGATTTGGGGTTTCTTGCTATGCAACAACACTAAATAAATCCATTTTGATTAGCAAATATATAAATAGAAAGACAGACCCATCCATCAATGCTATCTGATTTAGATTTAGTATCTAAAAGAGAATCTATCTCATTCAACCTTTGATTGGAATCCGTTTGAAAGGATCTCACATTTTAAAGGCAATATGATTCCAAACCTCCATTGCAAGCTCAGTCTTAAAATATAGACATAGTAAACCAGTCTAAACTCGCAGTTAGTCTTGGTCCAACTATGTCCAAGGGATGTCCTTTTGATGCTTATTCACTTTTTTTTTTCTCCTATTGCTGATGGAACTTTGGTTCCGGTAACTTCCTGAACCTTATTCATTACATCAACCCTTCTTCAACAAGGGGAAGATAGGAGGTAAAAGTAAGGTTGCGTACACATCACCCTTCATGACCCCACTTATAGAATTTAACATGATATGTTGTTGGTACATATGAAGGACTAAAATGATCACTTTTTCCAAGTAACCATTTTCAAAAAAAATGATCACTTTTTCCATATATTAAGGACTATTTCGACTACATGGTATATATGAGGGACTAAAATAGCCCAACCCAGATACATTAAAGACCATTTTGATCATTTTCACGAGAGGAGAGAATACAGTACTTTATTTGAAATTTATGAAGATAGAGTTGGAAAATAGGTTTGTAGCACTTCTCTAAATTTGGAATCCAACTCCAACTTGGATTTGGAAATTTTAGTTCATCAAACACGGATTCTAAAAAAAATAAGGTGAATTATTCCAAAAAGAAGTGAATAATTCTCATGGCCAAACAGGTTTATGGAGATGTTCCTCTCCAAATCATTCTGTCCACTTCAACGAAATGTACATGACAACAGAGCGTCATAAAGAATGTCCCTACCTCCTGGAATTCCCAGCCACAGAGGGGTCTCATCGAGGAAATCTCTGATGATGGTGACGACCTGTATCTCCCATAACTCTTGGCTGCCATGACATCCTATCCCCTTTCTACCTTAAAAACTATCGCATAAAGTTGTCTTTCTGCATTTTATCACTGCATCCATATATAGAGCCAAAACCATATTTTCTTCCCTTTCACAACGAAAAGGCAATAAATAATGAAAAGTATATTTTCTCCTTCATTATGCCTCTCCACTTACTCAACCCATAGAAGGCCTACACATTCTTTGGGAACCAACAAATTGGTTGTTGCCTTACTCACTTAATCACCTTTCTGCACATGGCCCCTTCTCTGTTAGCATATCTCTATACTCTATAGCCACTTCCCTATCAATGAGGTTGACTATCCCCACTGTTCGAATGCACGACCATTGCTGATAGGAGTTGGGAATTTCTCCCAACTAACCAAATGAAACTTCTTGTTTCCATTTATCCCATCCCACAGGAAATCCCTCATCAAATCTTAAGCCTTCTGCTCTGGGAATCAAAGTAGGATTAGAGAACAAGGAGATAAGGAAGGTTGAGATGCTTGATGGCATTGCCTTTATCAAGGACTCGCATATTATTATTAATTAATGTTTCCAAAAGAGATGAAAAATTGACAACACATACACGCACATGCAACAAGGGAAGAGATAGACATAATCAAGCAGAATCCAAAAGGTGGACCTCCACTTACCACTACAACATGTGGAGCCAAACTACTGAATGATTTCTCGATGCCATAATAAACTGCATTGACAGAGGAAGACAACTATTACTTTGGGTCTACCATGCAATTGGGCCCCAATAACATTTAAAGGAATAGTCAATGCACCAGTAAGAATATCTATAACCCGTAGTTCTTTCAGCCTGCCAGCTAGCACTAGTGCAATAGCAACTGCCCCATATACACAGAGAAGAAAATGCCTGCAGATGCATGTCCAAAATAACAGGAAAGGTAACGTAAAGAGTCTTATCAGCATGAGCATCAGTGAATAGGACAAAATCTTTTAGAGTTAAGTTGTATCTTCTGCTATTCACATACATATTTTTCACAAGCATGTGACGCGAAAACAAATGAAGGTAGTGTCAATATTTAATACATGAAAAATAAGAATTTTCTCTTACAAGGTCACATTAACCGAGCTTTTATGAAGACTTACGCCTCATATTATCTTCCTATTTGCTTAACTTGAGTTACCCCATACCTGTGATGGTGGGAGATAGCAGACAACCCGTGGAATAATCGAGGTATGCACACGCTTGTTGGACACTACCGTAATTACAAATAAAATATATAATATAAAAATAATAATAGGACAAGAACAACATTATTAACAATAACAATGACAAAGCGTTTGAATGAGTTCCTAACTAAGGACAATGCTAGTAATGGAGTTCTCTATTTTTTCATTTATTTTCTTTTTTTGTATTGGAGGGTAATTTTTTGTGCTAGAGTAAAGGTATTGTACAAATTCCAAAATTATACAAAAATTAATAAGAATCATCAGCTGTGAAATAACCAATCATTTATGCTAGTAATGGAGTCTTCAATATCTATTTTCTTTTGCATTTGGGGGAAGGGTGAATATCTGTGCTAGTAAAGGTAACCTGTGAGTTTCAAAAGGACTGCAATAATGAATATCCCCTATCAAGGGTATTTCTCACGGTGCATTGAGGGCCGGTACCATTGATAAAAGGGTGCTTCATGCCATACCTTTGATGAACTGCGCAGACCGGAAAATGGGTTCCCAAAAATAAAAAATGGAAGAGATAATCTGAAATCTCCTTTTAATCATCCAGTCACTGCTCTCCAATCAAAAGTACTTTGTAACATCAGCATGCCCAGTGTAATATCACATTTTACTCATGGTGACATCCTGATTTCTTCATTACTTCTTATAAGAGTAACATATCCTGTCCGTATTGCTTATTCCGACTTATGGATGTGTTGTGTGTATTCCCAATTATTTCTCATATGTGTTGTGCATTTTCCCAATTATTTCTCATACTTTTAACTGAAACCAACCCATTCCACGTGGTCTAAGCATCTTTTTAGTTCCACGTAGCACAAGGTTAAAACAACACAGTGGACTAGAAAACAATGGAAGAATAGTCCCCTTATTGCAACAGAAAGGCCACTGGAAGAGAGTGCTTGTGCAACGACAGAGACACTCCTTAGATAACAAACTCTTTGCTAAAATGCAAGTGGATGTGTGCAATACATGCCCACTCCCTACCCTGGCACTAGTGAAAGCACTTTGTGATAGCATCCAAGGTGGCATAACACTATCAAAGTTGATATTTTCAATAGAAAATCAAGAAGATGTTTATCATGGAAGGAAAACCCAATGACAAGCTCAAAGACTGTAGAGAAAAGTGGAAGGAAAACCTAATAACAAGCCCAAGGATTGTGGAGAAGAATGGTCTAAGTGATACACATAATTCATGGTTCTAATCCAAGCACAAGAGGAGGAAGATTTTTTAAAAAATTTAGAAAAATTGGGGGTAGGGAAAGGGGAAACAGGAAGGGATTTACAATGTGGGGAATCGAACCCTCACCAGCAAGGTGGGAGTTCAGGTAGACAACCAACTTAAATACTAAGATTTCCCAGAGGAAGACGATTGTGTCTCATAGCAAACCCCAAAAAGGTGAAAAGAAAAGCCCACCAAGGGACTGAAATTCTGCCCATAAATGGGCTGCAATTCACATCCATGGTGGCGGCAATTCAAGCTCAAAGAAGGCTGTTTAGTGGCTGAAAATCAAGCAGACGAGGAGGTTAAACTCACGTGAGCTTCAAGCCTAAAAGGGGCAGCATAGCGGCATAGCCGTGTATTTCTTTGTAGTATTTGGCAACTTTTCATTATTTTTTATTAGTTAGTTTTGGATGTACTTTTACAAAGTTTCCTAGTTAGGGTTTTCGATGTATTATTTCAATAGAAGTAGCATTTGAATCTCATGCTACTTGGGGATAGGTTTTTCCTGTATATAGGGATGAATTTTGTTATTTTCAAAAGACATGATTAATACTTTTGAGAGGATTCTTTTCTTGGAAATTAATGTGGGGAGACTATGGATTTATCTTATTATTTAACAGGTAAGACTAATTGTCTTAATTCTCAACTTGATGTCTTTAGTTTCCATTAAAGTAAAAGAAGGTAACTAGTCTTATACTAATTGTTGTCTCTATTTTCTTCGAAATAGAGGTCTAGAACCACTTTTGATCTAAGTTCTTGATTGACTCTATTAGTATCATAATAAGTTTTAATCTGCTAATTGTAAATACTAAGATCTATTAGGGTTCTTAGCACTTCATCTTAGAAATTTGGGGATTTTATTCTTGATTTCACATATCATTGATTTGTTGTGTTTAATCTTTGTATTTTCGCTTCTGCATTATTTTCTTGTATATTCAAGTAAAAAAAACAATTTTTAGTGTAAAATATAAGATCTTTGGAAGAAAGACCAATAAGTAGTCATTTGCTCACCAGAAAAGAAAAGCCATAAAGTATCTGCTGTTTTTCTCACCTATGCAATTATTCTGTCATATTGGAGAAACAGAATGAAAATTCATTAGGACATATACAGTGATATGTGCTGATAGAGAGTCAACATGTATGCATATGAGAGATAGAAAAGAATACAAAAAGGAAAAAATACAAACCATCCATCCACAATGATGATCAAATCTAGCAACACAGCGATCACAAATGCTGCAGTGCTTTGACCTAGCAGGTCTGAGCAAGAAGTAGAAACAAAATTTGATTATCTAGTGAGGTAAACTGGAGCTTTAGAGGTTTTAATTGGAAGAAACACACTCACTTTGGGATCTTGCAGGTAGGACATTCTTTTTCTGAGAAAATAATATTATCATAGGGATAAGCAGAAAGATAGTGTGAAACATTCACAGCATTCACAGTTCCTGGGTCAGAAAAGCTAGTCAATAGAAAGAGGAGAATACCCCCACCAACTGCCAACAAGCTTATGTACCTGCAATTTTATGTAATTTCTAGAAAAATTCACGTACATATACCACCAAAATCAACAATCAAGTGACAAATGAACTGATACATATGAGAACGTTTCAAAGCACAGGGATTCTATAACACCTGTGCACTTCACCTAGGTAATGCCCAGGAATGTACTTAAAGGATGACTGCACAATAAAGTAGTAAATGGCTCCAATTATTCCCAAATATATGACCTGCGTTTAGTAACAGACAATTTTCAAATAAAGTTTCTATATTCATACAGGGCATGAAAATAGAGGAGACGCAGACAAAATCAAAGAATGAAAACTAAACGAACAAAGGAACTCCCATTGAATCTTTTACAAACTAGTTCCATTTCCAAGTCCCAAAGACAAACTAAATATTGTAATTGTCATCACAAGATTCATTTTCACCATCTATAATTGAGTTTCGGATAATAAAAGCAACTTTTGTATATGAATGGCACAAAATGGGATCTACTTTTCAAATTCTTAGAGCACTTCACATCATCTAGTGCAATACAAGTAATAAATCGAAGTTGTGGTTCCACATTTTTCCTACTGAATGCGTCAATAGAAGTGTACTATTATTTGATAAATATTAGGTCAATTATTATATTGCTCAAGTTGAGCTAACTCCCCAAAATATTCAAAGTTGCTACACTATCAAATTAAGCAAAAAAGTTGTGAAATCTTGACATCATCATTTTCACCATTATTGTACAGCATAGAATGTGATGAAGCAGTAACTGATTTGAAGTTGAAATAAGGTGAATTGAGAACCTGGAGAGTAGGATTAGGACGATCACAACAATAGTACTCAACACAGAAGAGTGCATTGGAACCTTTTTGACCAAACATAGCACCCACAAAGCGGCTGAAAATCCAAAATTTGGGCAAAATCCCATTTTAAATACTTGTCAAAAATTACGAAAACGGATTATATGCATTAACATGTAAATAAATGAATACCGGAAATAATCACAGGCACCAAAAGTGAGAAAAAAATGGATTTTTTGAATGAAAGTGCCTTCGAAAATAGGCCATTGGCCGCAGAGGAAAGAAATCAACACTAGCAGTGTCACCAGGCCATGGATTACAAGAAGCCATTCCACCTCCATCTCAATTGAGCCTCAAATTAGTTATGCGAATGGGAGCAGATCGTTGTAGACTTCTCCATTATTTCTTTGATTATGACTTCTAAAATTTTATATTATTTTTATAAAATCATCTAATTCAACACCAAATGTTATATTTAAATATAGGGTTTTCTGTTTTTCCAAACAACTCATTTTCTATTTTAGTTTCTAAAGAGAAATCATTTTTCTCTTCTTAATATTATCTTATTATTTTTATTTCTATTATAAATAATTTGTATTATAGTGAATGTCTAATTATATGGAGTCCTAGTAAGATATGGTTAAAAATCCTATTTGGGGACCAAGTAAGATTTTTCCTATAAATAAAGGATTTTCTTTCATTGTAAATAATAAGATCGGTGAAGGATCTATGAATCCTGAATATACTATGAATAAGAGATCTTTTCTCTTTGATCTATTTTTGTATTTTAAATTTATATAGTTTCATAACACGTTATCAGCGCGATTGTTCTATTCTTAAAGAATTGTGATAGAAGACGAGAAAAGTGCAAAAGAGATATTGCATTATGCAAAAAGGTTGCAATAAGGTTTTTATATCTTCAAAGTATGATTTATCTTTATTTTATAATTATTTATGTAACAGATCTGGAGGTATCATCTAACGTAAGTATTTAAAGAGACTTGTTGACTTTTTATACATTTAATTTTAATCGATTGGGAAGAAAATTTCTTAATTTATTTTAATAATTGAATAAGCACAATTTAGTGAAAGGTATGTTTTCAACCTTTACATGAGGTATGTGATCTATTAAGCTATATTTGTTAACTACTAATATTGATTATAATAAATCAATAATCTCAATTTTGTGTGTACTTATAATGTACGATCATATTGATGATCATCAAAAGTGGTAAAATTGCAATTATATTGAAGGTTTGAGGTTGAACCTCATTATGGGTAAGACGATAAATTTAAGTTTTATCGCACCAGAAAAATACGACGATGGATTTATGTTCAATCGCGAAAAGAGGGTAAGACATTGGGTTAAAGTCCTGATGCACCATGATGATACGACATTGGGTTCAAGATCCATCGATTTATGACCTAAAACACTTTTATATGGATAAGACATTTAATGCGAGTCTAAATGCAACATATTGATAATATAATAATGACTAAAGAAAAACTAATGTGTTTTTGATGAGAAGTCATGAAATTTACTGAATTTTACTCCATTACAAAAGTGAATGTTGTATTAGTGCATAATATGTCTAAAAGAAGACAAGTGATTGAATAATGCACATAAATATGAAATGAGGTACTAGCTATCATAATTTGAAAAGCTCACATGTTTGTGTTTCATTCATGAAGAATGAGAACTTCTGATAAATGCTAAAATATGGATTCATTCTCTAAAAGGAATGAGGTGTAAGCTACCATGCTAGGCATGATAAAGATTTCGACCTTGGTCAATGATGTGGTATCACCAAGAATGTCTCTAAGAAGACATGTATTATAGAAAAGTTCATGTTTTGTCTTTGGGCTTGTATTGGACAAAAATTAATGTAACTGAGGCACATTCTATGGTAAATAAGAAGTTTACTAATTTCAGTACTTTCTTAGTTTGACACGGTTGTCTAGGACATTGTTAGTCTATAATGTTTAGACGAAGTATGAAAAATTAAACTGGACTTTCATAGAAGAAACAAAACATTCTTTTAAATGGTGAATTTTCTTATACTACTTGTTAGCAAGGCAAGCTAATAGTAAGACCACCATAAAAGAAGTTGAGATTGAATCTCTTGCGTTCTAGGAACGTATACAAATATTTGTGCACTTATTCATACACCTAGTGGAATGTTTAGATACTTAATGGTCCTAATAGATGTTTCTTCTATATGGTCTCATGTGTGCTTATTATTATCTCGCAACTTGATGTTTGCAAAAATGTTGGCACAAATAATATGTTTACTTGCATAATTTTCTTCAGATTAGTTCATTCAATGATGAGATCACGACTCACCTAACGGGTAAAGTAATTGAGAAGAAATAAATCTGAAAATTACTCTTGGAGTAATAAAATTAATAATTTACTCATGTAATAATAAATCAGAAATTTACTAAAGCAAAAGGCACATGACGTAGTAAACTTGGAGTTTACAAGTACTAATAATTTTATTAGTTGGCATGACTAATTTGGTCATCCCAAAGATGTGCATACTGAGTAATGGACATACATTGAAAAACTAGAAGATTCTTCAAGAATTCTTTATGTTACTTGTTCTCGTGATAAAGTTGATTAGATCAACTAAAGTTGGGACTAAATCCCTAAATTCTGAAAGGTATAAAAGGTGAATATGGGCTCATTCACCTATCATGTGTTATGATAAAAAGATGCATCAATAAGATAATCACATGTGCGTTTGTTGTCACTTGCAGTTTGACATTCGCAAAATTTTTTGTGCAAGATAATTGATCTAAAACCAAAACTTTCAGAATATGAAATCAAGATAATTCATCTTGATCATATTGATAAATATATAAGATGATGTGACATTAAATTAATCATATAGTGAATCATTGTTTATGGAAATAAAGTTTCATATGTTTATCTGAAATATGATATTACATACAAAGATAATTGTATGAATCAAACCAATAAGTTATGATCAATTTTTCTGTTAATTGGTTTATGGTCAGGGACCAAATAGTTTTCATCTGGTAATTTTGATGTGCAATATATGATTAATGAATATACTATGATGCACAAAGATAGATTCTCCAAAAGATTGAGATATATGTTAGGTTGTCTAACATAAGGGGGAGATTAGAAGCAACACAAAAGTTGTAAATACTCCTATTGAACGTCCCTTGAAGATAGAGTCTACAACATGCATGAAGCATGATAGACTAATCAATTCTAAATAAAAATAATCTTTGAAAAAGAGAGAGGATCAAAGAATCAAAATGATCATAATAAGAAGATAATGTGCTCTTGGGGAGTCTACGACATAACACTTTATGAACCTCATGAGAGGGGTAGCTACCTAAAAATAATGAAGTGATGAGATCTCAATTAGTTTTGTCGTATTGTGAATCGATACAAAATGGTATATCATTGACGATATCTTTGATATAATAGCGCACAATATTGTAAAAGATTATGAGGATATGAATTCTACATCTATTGAAGCATGCTTGTGTAGAAATAATTATCAAGTGAAAAGTGAAATGATGCATCTTGGTAAGCGTAAAACTTATTTGACTTGCAATCTAGGTACTAGAAGATGTCATACATCTATATTGAATGTTGTTACTTGACAAAACTGATATGAAAATATTCAATGGGTTCAAAATCTAAAGCATATACAAGTTTTTGGAAAACTTGTTATCATCCTCATAAGGATTAAATAGATTCAAAATGCATTGAGCATATACAAGTATTATTATGCAAGTTGATGACTAGAATTGAAGCTCTTGGCAACGGATTATTTGCTTAAAGAAGTTAAAGTAAGGAACTTGGAGAAATCTTTGACCCTAAAAGGAAGATTCATAAAAGGAGATAGAAGAAATCATATCTCGTCAAGGTTTTTCTACACTCATGGGCTCCCAAGAATGGTGATATCAACATGCATGATGTCTGTTCAAATAATATTATTGTTGATTTATTCACCAAGTCTCTACCAACTACAACTTTCAAGAAGATGGTGCACAAGCTTGAAAAACGAAGATTCTAGTCTCTGAATTGATATTCTCATAGGGGGAATTAATACTCGATGTACTCTTTTTTCTCCACAAGGTTTTGTTCCATTGGGTTTTCCTTGTAAGGTTTTTAATGAGGCATCCATAATGGGTATTGTTAGATATATGTACTATTTTTTCTTTACTAGATTTTTTTCCTACTGGTTTTATCTAGTAAGGTTTTAACGAGGCACATAATCTACCGACATTCAAGGGAGAGTGTTATAAACAATTTGTATTATAGTGAATGTCTAATTATGTGGAGTCCTAATAGAATATGGTTAGGAATCCTACTTGGGGACCAAGTAAGGTTTTCTCTATAAACAAAGGGTTTTCCTTCATTGTAAATAAGATCGGCGAAAGATCTATGAATCCTAAATATACTATGAATAAGAGATCTTTTCTCTTTGCTCTACTTTCTTCTTCTAAATTTATATAGTTTCATAACAATTTCATTCTTTTTTTGATATTCTCTTATTTGATAATATAAATTATTTCTTTTTTCCAATAACTACTCTATATAATTTCATGTGATAAATTTTTTTAATTTAATATAAAAATTATATTTTATTCTAAATTTTTAAATAACATAAATTGCAAGAATATTATATGATATACAAATTAATGAACAAATTGAAATAAAAGTGAAATACAATTGCATAAACATTACTTAAACACTTAAATTTTTGAAACTATTACATTGCTCCCATAAATGCTCTATTAATACATTACAAAGTTTAAAATGTGCATTTTTATCTTTAATTTTTTTTATGTCTAATTAAAAATTTGTTCAAATAGAAGATCTTTATCTACCAATATTCCGGTCATTCGAGTTGGAGCCTATAAGACATCATAAATTGGGGCAGTAAAATCATGTTCATCCTCAACTATCATGTTTTGCTGTATACTACATGTAGTCATTATATCATGTAGTACTTTCTTTCTCCAAAAAATGATGGTCCTGCAATAATTGCAAATGTGTGAATGCATGTTCAACATCTTTTCGACATAAGTTTTGTTTCATCTGGCATGATTATTATTTCATCGCAAATTAATTATTATGTTATGTATTGTATTGTATCTTGTATTTAAATTATTGTGTTATGTATAATATTGTTATATTGTATTTAAATTATCCTATTATTTGTTGTATTTTTAAAGTTGAAATTTTTATTTTATCATTTTAATTATGTGTAAAATTTAAAATATTATTATTTGAAGATGAAAGTAATATATATTCAATAATATTTTTAAAAATATATTATTACATTTAAAAATAATTGTGAATATTATATGTAAAATAGTATGTCAATTAGAAAGTAATAGAAATAATAATAAATTATTCAAAAAATGAAATAGAGAGTGTGAATTGAAGTACAAAAT